TAGAGAGAATGGTTTTAGTAGATGTGATACATGACGCTATGCATTCAGCCATTGTCGAGTGTATCCAAGTACAACTGTACTATGTAAGTATGAAATTCTAAGATCTGCTGCTGCAAAGCAAATTTCCAAAGAGTACATGTATAACAGTACCTCCAGAGAATGAAAATTAACTGATTTTTTATTTAAATTCCTTATTTTGTACTGCAATTGTTTGTCTCGAAAAGCACCAAAACAAAAATTCACTGTTTCTGTCCTGGAATATCACCACAAATAAAACTCTTATTTCTTTCAAAGAATGCTCCACCTTCACTGAAGCTCTAAAATCAAGTTTTAGGAGGAATTAAAAGGGTAGAACCCAATAACATAAAATAAACTGAATATTTAGATTGATTTCTTAAAGAAATTCAGCTTAGGCATTTATGTTCTTTATCTTTCTGTCTATATATCTCTAAGCTCCTCCAACAACTTTTGAATTTATTCAATAATCTTGGCTAAATTTGAAAGGGTACTAGAAGTTCCATGGAAATCTGGAAAAAAGACAGAGAGAGAGAAAGAGAGGATTGCCCCACAAAGGGAAGTCAGGAAGAATTCCTTCTTAAATTTAGCCAGCCAGATACTGCCAAATTCAAAATACTCATGATCATCGCCGAATGCTCCTGGATCTTTCAGAAGGGCTTTACTGATGGAGTCAAAGGGCAAAGACCATAAGCCTATAAGAGATTAGGCAGTTTCAGTTCCATTGCTTATAAACTAACTTGTTTATTTTTCAGTTTTGTATAATAGAGTTCCACATTTCACTGAAATTATTCTCTGAATATTCTGGACTACTATTTCTGTAACTAAAGCATCTAATGTAATGTGTAATACAAATGAATTGAAAGGTTTCTACTGCAATTTAACGCTTGTACATCATATCTGGCCATTATATGTCTTAAAGAAAACTAAAAGATTAAGTACAAACAATCTAGCTCACATTTTAAAGACACTAGGGCAAACCTTCAGCTGAAACAAGCTGTCACAGCTTCACTGCTGTTAGCATAACAAATTATACCAGCTGAGTTATTGTTTGCACAAGTGCTATATAAGACTTAAATACACTACAGTTAAGTGAAGAATGAGGCAACTCTATACCCCATCCCTAAACAAACCAAAGACCTCACTGGTATTTGCCTCACTATGAATCAATTAAGAGTAATAAAGTGCTCTGTAGGCTTAGTTTACGGAAAAAAACCATGAGGGGGACTTGATCATAGTGAACAAATAATACCTGTATGGACAAAGAGCGCTTGATAATGGATGGCTTTTAAGACTAGCAGCGCAAGCCATGAAAATTTTTAGAACTTGAAGACATACATTTTTAAGGTGAAACAGACATGTAACAGTGAAAGTCATTTATCATTGCAGTAATTCACTTTGGAGTACTGTGGACTTTCTTTTCCTTGGAATCTTTTAATACAATTCAGATGCATTTAGCGCAGCCACAGATTACTGGCCTTAATTATGAGTGAAAAATTGTACTTTATTGAATTTAAAATAAATAGAAGCATTTTGACAAACAATAATTTCTATCAGCTCAAGGCCAGATAGAAGGAAGAGAAACAGTACTCATATCCAAAAAGTTGATGGCCTGTTCTAACGGGACCATGAGTTAGCTTACAGCTCTGACACGGATGTGCTTAGATCCCAAAGAACATCCAAAGACTTTTAAGGTGAAATAAAAAAAAATACATAAAACAACCAGCTTTTATTTAAATAAAAATAGCCTAGATGGTCAACTTTTTTTCTAAACAGAGAAAACTCAAAGTAACTGTGTTAAGATAGTAAGACAGAAATAACATTTATAACAAATTTGCCCCAGATGACATAACCTTGCAACCATGTTCTTGTTTTTATCATCTAGGGTAAACTCTGCGTATTCCCATCTGATACCCAAGAAGTTCCTTTCATCATCTCTGAGGCCTGACAATCCACTCAATCTCATTAGTCATTGCCTGAGCTACATGTTCCCAGCTTCCTACTGTGACTTCTTTGACTACCACATATCCCTATGACCACTGTAACTTTTTCTTCCCATATATGGAAGAAATAATCTTCTAACAGGAGAATAACAATCTTCTCTCCCTTTACAGATCCACCTGACCTCTTCAGGCACAAAGCACAAATTTAGAATAAAACCGGATACTGGCACACTCAGGTTTGTGCATTTTGACTTAAAACTGCCAGACTTGCGACATAGTTTACGACTGAAGAGTCAGATTTTTGAGAAAGAAACTGCAGTGACCATTCTTTGTCACTATCATACTGGACAGACTCTGAAACTAATCTCTACTTGGCTTTATTGCCTTAGTTCAGGATGAAGAGAAAAAGTAGTTGCCTAAAGCCAAAAGAAGGCAAGAGAATTGTTTTTTGGGTAATGAAAACATATCTTGAAAAGCAAGGAAATTTTCTTCATATCAAACTGCTGTATAGCCTGAGATTTCTAATCAACTTTTTCCTCAACATGTGAGGAGTACCTGGACATGTCTAAGCAGCCTAAGGTTATTCCCTTTATTCTCACAAACTTTAAGATAACAGGACTTCATTATTTGACTACTGAGTCCAATCTCGCTTGTCATTACCGTAACTGAAAGGGAAGAGAAAGAGAGTCAACAGGCACAGTCCTGGGTGGTTGGGTTTGCAGAACGTAGCAACAGGATGTAAAGAGAAGGGATAGCATTCCACCAACTGGAATGATGCATATTACAGAAGAGCTTGGTTTTATAACATCAAATGTATCACTCAACAAAATGACACTATCAGTTTACATAAAACAGTAATGGATAGGCATTAAAGAGTTTTATTTTACTTGATTAACTTTTCAGTGTCCTAAAATACACTTAGATTTGATTATTTCAACCAGTGTACAAGCAATAGAAATAACTTGCTGCTGTTTTGATGGAAAATATGAAACTCTGGCTTTTCTCTAAGTATTATGTAAACGATTCAAGAGATCTTTTAAACATGAAAAAAATGGGAGCCCTTTTAGAGGATGGCATCACTTTGCAGTAAATCATTAGCAAAAGACTAGTGATGGAGCTTGCATGGTTCTCTAGGTAATGGCCCTTTTACTCATAGTAAAATAAAATAAAAGGCATTAAAAGCCACATCATCCATTCTGCCCCAGCGTCAACAATTAAGACTAGGCTTATTGATCAAAGAGATATTCTTGCATAGAATTATATAAACTTAGAGTTGAGAAAAAATTATGTTTCTTCAACACATGAGGAACTGGGAATAGTCTTATGGAGACAAACACTGACCCATGGTGATACTGTTCACAATTTTGATCACTAAGTTGGTTTATGAATACTTGTTATTTCCTTAGTAAAAATATTTAAAAGGATAAATTACCAAATAACATACCTTTACATATCTTCTTTACATTTACATAGCTTTTGCTTTAATATAGAAATAAACCTCTACAGAAGGATCCTCATTAATTTATCACACAAGGTAAGCAGTTTTATATTCCGGAAGTACGAATTGTACACACAGGAAAATACTCCCAAAATAACTAAAATACCTATAAAAAAGAAAAATTCATACTGAAAATGCCTAACAGTTATCTGCTATACTGATTGCTTAGGAGAAAATGTTACTGTTTGTTTAGAGTACTTCTGTAGAAATAATAGAATGGAGTCTGACATAGATTTGCTATTTCCTGAGGGAGAAGTAATTTAACTCTTTGTTACTCCATCCCTCAAAGTTAGGATTAGGAGGTCAGTAATTTCAGTGCTGATTTAAATGTGCAGTTAAATTATCCTCAGTTCAGATATCCACCTGGAAAAATGATTAATAAACACTAAGGGTATACCATTTTGCAAGAGTTTTAGATCTTCTGCTAAACATACTGTAGTATTGCAGACTTTCCTACGGAAAGCCTCAAGTCTGACCTTTTTTTGTGAAAGTAAGATACTACTGAGTGACTGCAGCAGTCTAGGCTTAGTTTGGGCAGTAGCAGTAGATGGGGAGAATAAAAATTATTTATTATTATTTACCTGCAATGTCTTGAAAGGATTTCAGAATGTTTTAAATAAAAAATGTTTTATATCAAATCACAGAAAAGTATTTGAAATGTATGCTAAGATATATATGCTCAAACAGCTACAGGACAGCAGGTGGCACTGGTAACATGCCAGCGTTAAAGCAGCTGTGTTGAACTTGCAGAAAACTGATCGTATTACATATTTCCTATCTTTATTGTGAAGCTGTAATGTAGAGAGCATAAGCTTTTACAACACTCTACCCTTTGGTGTAAGTGCTCTCTTTGATATTGCTGCTTGGTATGGTTTATTAAGGTAGTTATGGAGAAGACGGAGAAGCTCTCTTCACAGGGATACACAGTGACAGGGCAAGAGGCAAAGGGCACAGGGTGCTTCAGGAGAAACTCTGATCAAACAATTAGACACTGCAGGAGGTTGTCCAAAGAAGTGGTGGAATCTCCCTCACTGGAAATATTCAGGGCTCAGCTTGACTGGGCACTGGATAACGTAACCTGAGGCCCTGCTTTCAACAGGAGGTTGGACCAGACAGACTCCAGAGGTCCTTTTCAACCTCGATTGTTTAGTGATTCTCTACGGTTAGGGACAGCACCATGCAGAGAAGCCACGACATTGCTCCAAGCAAGATGCTACATACACATGGGCATTAAAACATTCTTCACAAATACTATTTTGCAGTGAAGAGTTAGTAATATGCTATCAGTAGGGCTAAATGGTGTGGGTAGCACATCAAACTACAAAGCTTTTTACAGCTTCCAGCTCCAGAGCTGGCTTATTTGGAGCAGGTTTGGACACGCTAACATAGTCATACCTTTTGAAGACATATCTCTGTTCTTCAAATGCCATTCAACCATAGTAAAGACATGAAAAGACATTCTTTACACAGGCTGCAGAGAAACTAACGTGAGGGTCACAGCTGGCATGCAAGCAAGCGCTGAATGCTCTTATGTCGATACTTACATTCTCTAACCCAAGAAGCACTAAGAGCGGGATTGTTGTCATTCCTCCTTGGATCCACTCTTCTAGAGAAACAGTACCATCATGATCATAGTCAATTTCTTCCATCATTTCATGGAGGATCTACACAATTTTAAAGAAAAGGCTCATAAATTTCATATTCTAAGATAACGATAAGACATACAAAACTCTGATCCCTCATTCATGAGCAAAAAGTAAGGAAAATATCACTTGTATGGTATCTTTGGAAGAAAGGCACTAAAATGACTGGTGACAGCTGAGAAGATGAAACTCCATATTCTTGTTTATGTTTTATCAACACCTATTCACAAACCAAGTTGTGCCCCATTGTGTACTTAGTATGTACAATAGAAATAAGAGATAGATCTTTTTAAGAACTTTTGAAGGATACATCAGTTGTGTTATAAATATTAATTATTATATGCACTGAGGAAAAGCCTTAAACTTTAGCAGAGAACTAAAGCAGATTACAGAGCAGATTTAATCAGAATAAAAGACCTGCAGAAGTGCTAACTGACTGAAGTGAAACACAGAATACCATGATTTCCGAACTTATTGATATGTAAAACCACATGTAGGCATTAAGTATCACAAAAAGGTTAAAAGTAAAACTGGGGATAAAATGGATGCTTACTGGACTCAGTTCAGTAACATCCCATTCAAGGTATTCCGCAACATGCATCATTTGAGCAATGATATTTTCCAGCTCCTACAGATGTAAGAAAAAGAATGATAATATTTAGTGCACTATTACAATGGCAAATTCGACTGCAAACAGCTTATAATTCAAACACATTGCCTTTAGTAATATTGTTTTGTCAGTGCTAAAATACATGGAAAAATAACTTTTCTAATCACTAACTGGTAATCAATACACAGTGTGATTGCTACCAAAGCCTAAAATCAGAGATCCTCTGAGCAGAAAAGGAGGAATAATTACAATAATTTTTAAAGTAAATATCTTAATTTGCAGAAATGTATTTATTCTTACTGAAAAGTCCCTTTTATGTGAGAAGAGGAGGTTTTGGGCTCATATTTGGCATGCTTCTTTGGTAGGAATAATTTATGTTACTCGTTTGACAAAATGACAAAAGAACAGGCAAAAAACATTTGTTTTAAATAAACCAAGTTCAATTTTTGTCAGTGTTATTTCCAGGATAACTCTGATTTCAATTCCACTCTTCTAAATAATCAAAACTCATGAGTTTGAGTCTTTAGGATTTAAAATTCAAAGGTTTCCTCCTATATTCCAGGGGCTAAGGAATGCACTGGGTAGAAATGATATATTATTAATGACAGGAAACATTCTAGACAGAAGGATATGCGTGAAGTGTGTGAACTTAACCATATACATCTGTGGAAAATGTTACATATTCTTTAACTGCTTCTTAGGCAAAAGTGAAGAAGTTCATACAAACCTTTGAACATATCCTCACTTAACTATGACACTTAACAGTAGCTGAAGGTCTGCTCCATATTTTTAGGTCAATCCTGCATGCTAAGGTAAATTCAAACTATGTAGACATATGAAACTCTCCACTTCCATTCTCAAAATGAGTTCAAGGGGATATACACTACAGTTACATGTATGACCTGATTTTAAGAAGTGCTGAACATACCTATCTCCAGATGCAAGGCAGGTCCAACATCTGAAACTCAGGCTTGCAATTCATTTCTTTAACCAGCCTTATATAGCATCAATGATATTTACATATAAACATATGTGTGAGAGTGACTGAGCACTGGAACAGGTTGCCCAGAGAGGTTGTGGACTCCCCTTCCTTGGAGATACGCAAAAGCCATCTGGACAGGGTCTTGAGCAACCTGCTGTAGGTGACCCTGGTTGAGCAGAGTAATTGGACTTGATGACCTCCTTTCCAATCTCAAACTGTTCTGGGATGCTGTGCCTCAAGTTTTAGGGATGAGAGCAAGAGAGCACAAATGTGCATCTTGATTACTCTCCTCTTACTATTATTTTCAAGGGACACTCTAAATACTGATATCCAACTTAGGAAAAAATCTCTCAAGGACTAAAGCTGTACTTGAGAAATATGTAAGCTGAATTTGCAGATCTCTGCACAGGCATTTAGCTACATAGGAGTTTTATAGGCATAATGTAGAGGCCAATTTTTGAAATACTTTCTCTGGAGTAATCAGTGTCCCGTGAAATCAAGTCTTCCATTTGAAACAAATCCTACTTTGTAGCTTTTTCTGTTATGGAGATAGCAAGATCAAGTAATCACTGGTCAAATTTATTACTGTACTTTATTTATTCTTTGTTTGTAAAGGAATATGTGAACACAGATAAAGCCAAAAAGAAAGTCAATTAATTTGTGAGTAATCTTCCATTGACTAATCCTTTCATTGTGGTATGACTTCATACTCCAAAAAATTCTTCAAATTCTCCTGTTATTAAAACCTAGAATCTCTGCGATAAGTAGATGGATAGGACATGTTTCAATAGCTCTTCAGAATGAGTGGTATTTTTGTTTAGAAGTATAATTTCTCTACTCTGATTGCACTTTGAAATCGAACTGTGCACTATATAGTAACCTTGCTGCAACAGACATCCCAATTCTCCTGTCCTTGGAACTGTACGTACAACTGAACATCAGATAACTCAAATGAAAGGCATAGCTGATTTTAGCCATTCATTTTAATGTTCTTAACAAAATGTCCTCATGCTGGAAGCTGTCCATTTTTCCTCTTCGGTGAATCCACATCACTAGTAAAATATCAAGCATAAACGAGCATTTAGGGAGGTGAAATGCAGCCCCACAACCAAAGGACAGCCTCTGGACTGAAAGAAGCAATAGATTCTTTCTTCCTAGTTGTTCATTTGATCACTGCTTTCACGATCTGAAGCCCACCCTATGATTTAAGGTACTTCAGATTCCAACATTCTAAAAAATTACTTTTTGTCAGCAATTGTATAATTCACAACTTTCTAATGGAAAGAGGGTATGAAGTGGATTGTATAACCTAATGCATTTCTCATTAATGTTTTGCTGTAATTTCCCTTGATCACATAGCACTAGTGCTTTCTCATAATCATGTGTAAAATTTGATTTGTAAATATGCTCAGGCGCTTATCTAGAACCATTCAGTATTCTCATGGTGTATTTATTATGACTAGTTATCCAATTAATACTTGGTATTCCCTTATCAAAAAAGTCTTTGCTTTATACTTCTGTGTATCTTAGCTTCCTTATTCACATACAACCTATTTACTTTCTTTTATCAATCGGCTCTTTGCTTTCTCACCCTGGGGAGAGATAAAAGAAAGGAAAGCTGCCCGTACAAGAATTATTTCCATTAGCTGATCTTTGCTCCTTGCCAGAAAACAAAACAAGTAAAAAAAACAACAACAAAAACCCCAAAGCACGGCTACATTTTTAAAAAATTCTTTCTGATTGCTATCTTTTTTCATTCAAATGTTTGGTTGGGCTAGTTCTCAAAACTTCACCTTTAATATTGCTCCTCAAGTTTTCAGTAAAGTGGAAGTTCTGACATCTCCTCTCTATCAGCACCAACTGTGCAGCTCTCACACTTTTGCTATATAAAAAACCTTTCCAAATGGCGCTTTCATATACATCTCCCAGAGGCATACTAGAGCTTTAAAAACCATGTTAATATGTCTCCTGCAGTAAATTTTTTAAAAATCGGAAGACTCTACAAGACTCCGCAATAGTAGTATCAGTATTTGACAATCAATACAGTTGCAGAAGAGGAAGCTTAATGGAAGAGTGCAGAGCTACTTTCAAAATGGATGATGTTTCTATTGAATACAATTCATATTGCTTCTATTAATTCAACACAAATGCGAAGTTAATTTGGTTTCGTGTAGTTTCCCATAGGTATACCATTACTGCCATAATCTACAATATATCAGAAAAATAAATAAAATTACCGAACTATCCAGGTATCCATTCCCATCTGTATCATATAAGCGAAACATAACTAAAAAGGAAAAAGAAAGAAAGGAGAAGGAAATTCAATTAGAAAAAACAGTAGTAATACTATTTCCCTTAAAAAAATCCAAATTTCAAAGAAAGAACAAGCATTAACATTTTCCTCAGTGTTCACTAACCACAGACCCAACAAATCTCTGGCATTATGTGAGAAACACTCAGTGACTCCCCCACCACAGTGCCTCCAAATGAGATCATGAGCAGGCCATTGCAGTTGCACTTTCTCCATGTAGCCCATGCAGCAGCTTATTTGATCTGTGAGACAGGCTTGTGGTTCCTCCTAGAAAGGACCTATTTTCACATGGAGCACCACCAAAAAGGCCCCTCTCTGCCATACCACCAAACATATGATAACATGCACCAAGTTAGGCAAATGTTGATAAGCCTACTTGATCCAATGCTATTCCACTCCCTCCTTTCAGCTATCACTATTCAGTATTGATACTGCTTTAGAAATGTTTTCTTACCAGCTAAATGAAACAATAGGTTATTATTTGAAGTATCTAGTCGGCCAAATATAACAACAAACATTACTAATACATGTCAACATGACTCCTACCTAAACATGCTCCATCAATTTGAAAATGTATTCTCAACAGCCTGGGGAGCTACCCAGACAAGAATAGCTCCATTTTGATAATATTCAGAAAAAATATATTCTTTCCCGTCTCTATCATTACCCTATTCCAGCCATAAGAGCTGGTATATCCACCATTACCAAGACACTTCAAGGCAGTTTACTGAGCTGGTCATTCACAGAATCAGAGTGCGGAGCAGGGAGAGGCTTGAACCTTTGGTAGAGCTGTTATTATAAGGCAAAGTATGAAAAACAGATGTCCAGGAACAGACGTCCTCATTCTTTGTTCCTATTATATGAGGACTCTGAACTCTAAACCCTACCTCCTTCAATTGTAGGAGTAGGAGGAGAGAAAGCCCATCTAGAGGTGTTTCAGGACACTGTAGTGCTTCAACTCATAGCAAAATCCAAGCAAACTGCTTGAACTGTGATATTAGATGTCTTGGGAAACAAAACATATAACTGATTAACAGTGAACAATTCAATTACACTGGATCTACAGGAAATGCAGCTACAGTCCAACAAATTCTACAAGTCAAGTTTATTACTGTTTATAGGCAACAACAATATAATGATAAGTTAGAAAGCAAAGTGAGGGAAAGAATGTGATTATTTTTGACTTAGGGCAAAAAAACACTTAAATAGGAATATGGATTAATGTGCTTGCTTTATATCCTCCATCATCTTCCCAAGCTGATCAGGTAATTGAGAAAAAAAAACCGTAAGTACTACTCCCCTCCATCGCTTTAGCAATTTTAGCCACTATGATACTCCCTTAAGTGCTGTAATACAAGATTGAAGATATTCACTCTACTACATTGTTACAAGCTACGTAAGTTCACTGTTCTTTGCTGAGAATTACACAGCTGAAATACTTGAGTGAAAAACAATGGTTAAAAGTCACCAGAGACTGGTACTAGCACAGCTACTATGCTTCCACCAAAGCTGCTCTGAACACAACAGCTAATATTATCTGGCAAAGGTACCATTAAGCATTCACAGTTTCCATAGGGATGAATCACTGAATCACTCAGAGATAAAGTTCAAATGATTTGGTTCTGCCCCCGCCTCCTCTGTGATTGCACTGCAGTGGTTGAAAGAATCCTCTACAGTTACCACTAGAGCAGCAGTTGTTTTAGCAGCTCCTTGATCTTTATCTATTCAAGAGAAGTAGTGTTGGCAATTTTTTAGCATGAGTCAGCAGTTCTAATCAGTCATTTAAAAGATATTAGCACATTTATAACTGTTTCATCTTTGTAGCAAAGCAGCCACATACACATTGCACAGGGATAAGGCTCAGCCTCTATTCTTTGCTGATGTTCTGTTTTGAGTAACTACCCTACTGGCAAGGCACGCAATCTCTTTTCCATTCAGACACTTCAAAACATTCATGTTCCTGCTGATTTACCCAGTCTGGGAGAAAACAAAAAAACAATAACAAATCCTGAACAAAAATCCCCATGCAAACAACAGAGCCCAAGCTGGCCTTTTGTACTCCTTTTCCTATCCCCCAACAGGATAGGGCTGGCTGATTTCTATTATGAGATGCATACCTCACCTTTTGTAAATAAATACAAATGTATTAAAGAAAATTAGCAAGAAGAAAGCAGTTGATGCAATGCTGAACTTTCACCTGCAACTCCTGGATCTCTAATCTTGCAAATGTCAAAAGGGTGACATACCCCAGAAATGACAAAAGTTGGAAACCACGGCCTTTAGACAAGAAATTGGGGAATTCATTTTCACACACGCATGCACATGCAAAGGCTGAACGTGCTGTCTATTTTCACCAGTGCAAAAATGCAAGAGAATTGTGGCATTCTGGAATCTCCTACTGGTATAGTAGGGACAGAAACTGAGTAACATAGATTCTTGATAAGATAAACGATGGCAAAAAAGCACAGCTCATAATTCTTGGAGTTTATTTTCATAACTGCGATGAGAGGTCAGAGCACTTGTAAGCACATTATCTTTGTGGAGATACGGTACCTGTACAGGTTGCAAGCACGTCTAGTGCCCTCCATCCTGTCTCCTGGCACTTCTCTGAACACTTTCACAGTAGGTCTGTGCCTCATGTCCTTAATGGTTCACAACAACACTGATAAAAACACATGCAAATCGAGGAATGGGCTGGGCTGAGAAAGTCTCATGCAATTGTGAGCTAAAATAACAGCCACTGCTGGGGTTATTAAAGAAAGAAAAGTTTTGCCACAAAACACCACCGTTCAGTCCTAAGGAAGTACCTGCAAGGGGCCTTTCTTTCATACTCAAGAATCACAGCATGGACACCAGCAAGCAAAGCCTGGTACATGCGAAAACAATACAGACAGGAATAGGTAGTTTCTATGAATCAAGCTTGCAGGCTAACCCACAAAACATGTAAGTACTTAATAACACAGATGTACCTTGATCTATTTGCAATATGATCTGAAAAAGGCAGCTCAAATTCTTCCAGGTTATCTCCACAACTAAAGTTTGGGTTATAATTTATACTGAGGCCAAACATATTTTATGAATAATAGATGTGCTAAGCATGTCACAGGTGAGATTCATAGCGCTAAAGACCTTTAGGAATGTCAGTATACACTGTTATGTGTTAAGGAATCGATTCATCTGCTGAACTATTTGTAAATCTATGAAAACCTATAAATCACACCTAGATCTTAAAAATCTATAAAATACTACTTCTTTTGGTGTCATATTATCTTAAAATGCCTCCATCTTACATTACATTTTATTTGAAAGCACAGCTTCCATGCTCTGCTCGTTTTCCACCTGGTTTCTAAACTCTCAGCTATGAATCACTGTGTTTCCATTTTTGTCAACAGAAGAACTAGTGACTTGAGATTAATATTAATGTTGGAAATGCTGGAATAAGCCACTCTTTCATTTTTCTGTCTGCTGCTACTAATTTATATTTCACTTTGCAGTCATAGTGCCTATTGTTATAAAGTTATTTCAGACAAAGGGTTAAATTTTTACCATTGATTTATAAGGAGAATTCATCTAGAATCTAGAGGGAATTCTGCACACTAAGTAATGGTACAGTATAATCTAAAAATTAGAAACTGTATAAAATGATAATATATGTTGTATTTCAACTCTGTATGACAAACTATAAAATAAACCTCTATAAGCATGTCCTTACTTATACCAAATACATGTAAATAACCTTGAATATATGAATCCTGTAAGAATAGTACATTTATTGGACCAGGCTCTTTCCTAAATCATAAAAACCATTCACAGTTTCTTGCTTCTGCATTTCCTCTAATGGGAACATCCCCTATACTAAAACCATCTGCTTCTCTGTCTGCCTACCTTTTCATTGCAGCAATTCCTGGCTCCAGGGGAGAAAACTGATATCCATTTCATGCTACACGCTGGGCTTTAGAGCTCTGATAAGGCTTACACAGCTTGCTACCAAGAAAGAATTACTATATGGTAAGCTGAATTCAATTCTAGAAACTTAAGTTTTTCTTTGTATGCATTTTGAATGCACCTTTGCACATACATCGTCATATTCTAACCATATGATACCACACTGTGATATTATCAAACTTGGGGGCAGAACCTTACAGCCTTTGCTGAGGCAAAACTGCCAGTAATGTTACAGTATGAAGCCTAGCATCTCTGAAGTTGATGTTATAAGCAAAACACAACATACGAAGACAGTTCAAAAGCTTACAGTCACTTCACCTTGTAATGAATCTCTCCAGCAGATAGAGCCGGTGCCTGCATTTCCTGTCATATTGATCCCACAGCTCTTTTATAGACAGACCAGCTATGTATACCAAAGTATTGATCTCAGAAAGGACTACAGTTTAGAGCTAACTGGTTTCTAAAATTACATAATGGGAAACACAAAGTTTCTTCAATCAAATCATTTCTAACTTCCAGAGTCAAACATTCTCCCTCAGCAATGGCCTAGATCTGGATATATATATATATATATTTTTTAACTTCCTTGTATTCACTAATATTACAGAGTCCATGGCCTATATTAGCATCTGTTCTTTGCCTGAACTAGCATGTTTTCTACAGCTTATCCTAGTCATCACCTGTATATACTTCTAAGCATCCTCAGAATGTTTAATTTGTTTTTCACAGCTCTGATACCAGGAGTAATTTATTGCCAATATTATAGAAAGAAGTATTTGAAAGGATTATTCTACTTGTAGATTTTATGCTCCTTACTCCTCAACTTCTCATGTCCTAGATAGAAAGAATCCAGTTTAAATCTTATAAAGTTAAAACTCTTAGTAAGAAAAATAGTTAATTTCTGTAATACTATTTCCCTAGCACCAAATTTGTATAATGCAGCCACTTAACACCAAGTCTTAAATTTTGAAAATTCTGAAAAAGAAATTCTGATGACTTTTTCTTTTCCTAAAAAATAAATAAGTATATAAAATAAGGTAAAATAAAAAGAACTTACATTCTAGTTTATCTTCAGGTCTTCCTCTTTCTAGCAGAGACAAATAGCAAACAATGTCTTTCAGCTGGATCACCTCTGGTAAAGGTAAGCTGGCTGGAGTAGGAGGTCGGGATGCAGTGGTACCTTTGTTAAGTCTCAGACCTGGAAATAACACATAGTCTTTGTTACTCTTACCCATGATATAAACAGAGAATGCAAAACAGAACTCTTATGTATATGCACCTTTAATTTCTTTATTTAAATCTTAGAGGATCTCTTCATTGAAATATAAAATATGAAGTTGTAAATGATCTATATTCATAGTTTATCTGGCAAATACAGAATTAAAATGATGGTCAAGACTTGGTGAAAAAAGTCTAAAATAATATATGGCATAAAACAAATTACTGTAAGAAGAAATCAACTGTGGGAATGGTATCACTTTTTTCATTTGCCCTGATCTGATGTCATTTGACTACACAACATGTTTGCTGAATATTTAACTGGCTTATATGTTAATTTAAACATTAAAACAATCCCTGCACCACTCTGCATCCATATCCTTGTGTTTGTAGAAGTTTCATCTAACTTACAGATTGTCATCAGCTACACTAATTAAAAGATGTCTTAGAGATATCAAAGAGAACTTTGCTGATATTCAAATGTGTAGTTTTCCCCAAAACAGTCAGATGCATGTCAGAACGGTACATATTTAAATTGTAGCAGTCCTAGCCTAAGAATATCATGAAAATTTAAATTTAAAAAGTTAAATAATAGTCATAATAATCGTTTAAAAGTTGTGATTAGAGCAGTCCCAGTGTACCAGCTGGAACACAAGTTTCAACATTGCCAAACCTTTTGTTTCAAAAAAACGTTAGCAAGACCGTTCCTGAGGATACTATTAGAATTTGCAGGACTGACAATAAATGGAAAAGCAAAGCAAAAGGACAGGACTGCACAGAGAAAGTAATAACACAACTTTCTTTAAAGAAGTATTGCATTTCCCACTGACTTTAGCAATGCTAAAGAAGAATCTTTACAAATACATTAACTGTCCTTAAATATTTTCTATAATCAATTCAGAACAGGTTCTTCACTGCATACATAACCTGCCTACATAATTTCTCTCATCCATTCCTCTTGGATTAGCTAATTACTTTATCAAATAGAAACAGATTTTTTTTTCTATATGCATCTTGAAAACTTTGTAATAACCTGAAGATTTTTTCAAAGGGTCTCCTGAGGTACGTATATTGGGGGGGAAAAAAAAGTCAGTAACTAAGAGCAATTTGGCATGCCAAGAATATATCTTTGAAACAAGTTCAAGTCCAAAGTTTTAGGTAGATAAGCACTACAAGTAAATATTTAAATGAATAAAAAGGTTTAATAGGTCAATGTTCTACCAAATATTACTGCTAGAGAACTATAGCATTAAATACCAATCAGACTGAAATAATTTAAGCGGTTCTATATGAACCTCACACACACTGTAGATTCACATAAGAAGAGACCTTGTTACAAATAATAAAAAATCATACTGCTAAGAAAATTATTTGAAAAAATGAAACATGCCTTTCTGGACCCCAGAATCATTGCAGCTTTCATGAGATGACTACAATTCTGTTCACTGAAAAGGGATCATTTTCCAAGCTGAAGTTTTAGCTCCAGACAGTGGTGAGTACAGAAGATAACACAGAAACTACTAGATTGGGTAATGCACTGTAGCACTGGAAGACCGCTCTGGTAGCCCTATGACTTGCTCAGATCATCATAAAACCTTTTATAGCTACCGCATCCCGAAAGGCCCTGCTTGCCCAGGGCCTCTAGATGGACCATTTCTCTGAAGTGGGCCTATCTCCATCTGACGTTTGATCCAGTGTCCTGTAAAGGTACCTAGTCTCTTGCACGGGAATCCGTGACATCGTCACCCACGAGCATTGTAAAATTATGATTTATATTTCCATTAAGATTGAAGAATGAACAAAGTAACTCCGGTAAGCAGATATTAACTAATGGCAATGCACATTCATACTTGAAAACTACTCCATGCAGCAACTGACCATACGACGTCGGGGGGGAGGAGAGAGACATTTCATGCATTTCCAAGTAGTACAGAGATCCAAAAGCAGGATCAGAAATTGAGTCCCTGATCCTTCTACTGGATCTGTACTTCAGGTAGCTAGTGAAGTACTAAAATATGAAACAGAGAATTCAGACTTGAAACTATCAAGAATAGTACATGCTTTTAAAATTAAGACAGCACAACATATTTATCAATTAAGATGTTATCTTTAATCACACACTTTACACAAATAGTTCGCATTCCAATCTTATGTGAATCCTATGCCCTGAATAAAAGGTATATCACAAAACTGGTCCTAACTCATCTCAAATATGTATGGTCCTGAATCCTACTGAAATCCAAATGAAAATGAACTTTTGGCTTATCATCAGCTTCAAGTCAAACTATCTTTTCATAATTATAGGTGGGAGAAGGGAGGGATGCAATACTGACTTACAATGATGCTGCTTACCTGGCATCTGTTTCCATCTCTCTTCAGACACCTTAACTGCAAATACAATTTATAAATAGAGATGAGTGAGTGGACAGAGAAACACTAAGTTAAAAGTGGACATGTTCCAGAGATATTTAGGAACCTTGCTACTTTTCAGGTCATCTTCTCTAGCTCATGTATTCCTTCCCAATTTCCAGAAGAATGCCAAATGTTTCTTTCCCAGTATGGTTAGTTTTTTCATTATTGGCAATATTTAAAAATTACTTGATATCCTGAAATAACGGTCTCCATGACTTTCATTTGTACATTAAAATGTACAAACGCCCAAATTTTTCTCTTTAATCAGTACAAATTATAAATATATAACATCTAACTAAAACCTCATGTATTTGAATTACAACACAAAACAGCATATTTTCAGGGTCAAATAACCAATAATGCTCGTATGAGATGAACTGAATTGTCTCTCCAAACTTGCTTTGGGCGTAACACTTTATAACATTGTGCTTTTAGTATTACATTGAATTCATATGGAAGACTACTAAACTGGTTTCATGACATATTATTTTTTTAAGTAAGCCCCTACTAAGAGAAAAAAAGGTGAAAAGGAATTAAAAAGTGGAACGAGTGAGTGAAGGAGAACAAAATTAGGAGGTAGTATTATAATAAAAATATAGCATAGTTTTAACAATAATAAGAGAATTCATGGGATTTCTTTTAACCACACTTAAGGAATAAACATATCAGAGAGAGCTGTAACAAAAGCGAGGGAAGCTTAACATGGCCTTTACTGGGTAGAACTTACAAATTAATCTGACGACCTAAAAAGAGCAGTTAGCGTTTTCTTCACATGAAGTTCTGTGGCTTCAGTGAAGCCACAGAAAGAAACACAACATCAGTATGATAGAAGATGACTTTTTGAAATATCTACTCACACCACATATGTTAAAACATAACATAATAAATAAACAAATATGCATCAGTTAAATGTTAACTGTTGGAGTTATCAGGCAAAAAGGGTTGAATGTAAAAAACTACAAACTAATGGTGACTGGTGCAGTGTATGTTTGTGGTGGCTGCTCCTCTCTGTGAAAACATCAACGAAAAAATAGACATGCTGTAAGTGGAAACAAAATTGTGCTGCTAAGGCATTACTGGCAACAGAATCTATATATCTAGGAGAAAAAAAACGCAATGCTGAAAATGTATGACATCCAAAATAGCCACTGCAGTAGACAATAAAGATTGCATTTAGGCATGCCCTGCCCTTAGAGATTCTATTACAAAGCATCTCTAAGGGCAAAGGACTGAAAACGCTGGTCTAAATGACTTGCCCAAATCTAGAGGAAGTTATTATCAGAGTTGTAATTAGCAACAGAAAGTTTTGTTATCTTCTGCACAGTTGATTATACCATACTCTACTAAGCCTACTGCTTTACATATGGAACCAGTCTAGATAACAAGACAACAAAAACACAGGAAGCTGGAAATGTATTGTCTACACAGCAGATGTGTGTGGAGAGATGAGTCCACAGCAGTTCTGACTAGAAAGGATAAAGAAGAAATCTTAAGAATTCAATTCATATGAAAATGTGATAAGCAAGTTTTGCTAATAGAAAAAAGGTTTTGCTAAGAAAAAAGGCTTTTCAGTTAAGCCTAAATTACACTTTATGAGCATAATAATACATATTATGTATTATTAATAGTAGACAATAATGTAATATGTCTTTTGGCTGGCGAGTATAAAGCTAAGAAGTAGAAAAAACAACTGTAAATTTAAGGAAAGAAAAGTAAATGAAACATCTATGTAATATATTCTGTTGAGAATGGCATGTGCTAATCCGAGAGCATTATCATAACAGACAATTCCTTTACTATAACACAAGTCAGATTCAATGGGTGATATCTGAAAGCCCGTAATTCTAATTGTGTCTGGGCATCTATGGAAATGGGCATCTATAGCATCTATGGAAAATCAGAGCTTGTTACTGTGGCAATTAGCTTACTTTTTCATCTCATCCCCTGCTAAAAGCAAATACTTGGTATATTCACAGGTTGTAATGTTATTCAGAATTATTACACATATCCCACCAAGCCTCTCTGAAGCACAAGAACTAACATTTTATCAAGTAGCACCTGTATTAAGTCCACATCTAATCTTCATATAAAGACTCCAAGTGATTAAAGATCCATCAAACCTTTTGGTAACTTTTTCTAACTGCTCAATTAGCCCAGCTGTTCAAAGTAGGAAATTTATTTCTAGTCTAAATTAGTCTAGATCAGCTACTGGATTTTGCTATAGTTCCCAAATAAGTATCATTCAAAATGAAATCTCTGAAATTAGGAAGATAATCTTTTCTTAATGTACATTTTCTTTAAAAAGCTTTATAAAACTTTATAAGTCAAAAGTTTTTAACACTACTTTTCACGAAAGTATGTTAAAAATTATGTTTTCTGAACTCCAAATCATGTTAAATAAAAATGTACAGTTTAGCATGAAAAATTCAAACTATATTAAGGAACTGATCCTCATATTGGGTAAAGAAATACTGCTAACACTTTCAGGTCATTAAAACATCAGGAGCTGATAAGTGTGTAGGATTATTACCAGCAGCATCACAATCAGACAATTAAGAGAGGAGACAGTAAATGGGTAAGGAAAGCTTTAGAGCACCCAGTAGGAGCTTCCTGCAGGAGGTTCTGAAGGTTTCTAAGTGTTGACATAGTGCAGTAGGCAGCAGGACCACGTAACCATAGCAATTTAATTAACATTAACATGACAAAGACTGTCCACTTGGTGTCTCAGCTGCATCATTATTGTGAATTAAAAAGATGAAACCATTTCATTTCCATTTCTCCTCACAGTAGTTCTGTGTTCATGACTGAGTTTCTCCAAATTCACAAACATCAGGAAAAAAAAGTTCACACACACAGTTCAGAGTTCTATATGTTTATAACTATTAGACGTAAATAGCAAGGGGAGGAACTTTCATTTCTTGCATTACTGTGATTTTATTACTTACCTCCGGAAAGGAGCTGAGGTTTGTTTTTTATTAAAGGGCTGCAGTGAGGGATTTTGTTGCTGAATGATGTAAAAAGATGTTCAGTGAAGTCATCAGGTAGCTCTGCTTCCAGAAAAGTCTTCATGAACAGCCTGAATCCCTCTAAATCAATTGTCTAGAGTGAAAAAAATATATTTTGAATTGTTAGTTTCAGAAAAACTTTTATATTAGTGCACCAAATAATATCCTGTTAACAAAAATGTTAGACTATTCTTGAAAATACTGATTTCTGAAGACATAATCTGGAATGCATTTTGAAAATTATTGATAATACAGTATTCAGCAGAACTTTTGAAAATTCACAGTATTACTACAATAACCCACAGACAGACAGACAGACAGGTAGAATATATCTATGAGGACCCTGGAACGAAGTGCCATGCTGCTTACTTTCTTCGTTGCAATATGGCTTAACTGCACATATAAAACCACGACCACAAATGGCTTTGAAGAGCACAGGGATGTGCCTGGTAAGTTTTAACTTTTCCCCTAATTAGGCACACAGTAAGCAGGTGATTTCTGGATGCCAAGTTCAGGGAACTGAAGGCCAGCTAAGTCCTTTTCCAGCTAGCAACATGTTTTGTTGTTCTTTGTCAAAGAGGAATCAATCACCTTGCTAAACATGTTCTAACAGCCAAATGAGAGAGCTGAGACTATGCAACATCATGCATAGGAACAATAAAAAAAAATAAAAAAGACCATTACTGATTCCAAACATTTGCCATTTAGTTTAATTTGTTCTTGCTTTTGCCAGCAAGGTAAAATGTGATTAATGAAACTTCATTGACAACTTCTCTCTGGTAAGACAGCTTTATCATTCTTAACTAACAAAATTAATGTAAAACGTTGTGATTACATTTTATCCGACTAATATAGAACTACTAGAGACAAAGGTGTGATGAAGTATATCAACAGATCTTAAGACAATTTCACTTTTATCTCTGAAATAACCATGATAAAACTGCACACTTACCAATGAGGCTACTTTGTTACGTATGTGATAAATAATAAATCACACATTACTTCTCAATTAACTGAAAAATATAATGGTGTTGCTGTCTTTCTTTCTAGCTCAAATGGAACACTAACTTTTCACCTTTGAATAGCTCAGATAAAGCCACATCTTACTGCAAAATCAAGGTGGGAAAAACTCTCCATGTTTGGGGAAGACTCTACATGTCTCTACACAAAAACTCTGGTGCAACAGAACAATGAATGCAACATTAGCAAGCAAAAGATCAGCAATTATGTCAAAAAAAAAAAAAATTGAGGTCAGATTTTCAAAGAAGTACCTCAGTAACTTAGGTATCTGAGTCACAGTAAAAATTATGTTAAAGTAACTGCAAAAAATATTTCAATTCTTTGTAGCAGTTATTTTTCTTTCTTTTCCTCCCCCTCCCTCCTTTTTAATGAGATGAAGAAATTTTGTTATGTAGATATGAAATAAGGTGTTTTCCATGAAGAGCAATAAAACTTAACTGCCCCAGGGCAATGTTTTAACTGTATATCTCTCCTTACTAGGGGGAAACAACAAAGATTACAAAATCTGACTGATTTTGTGAAAGTTTACTGACTTACTAGGAATATAAACTTGGCAAGAGGGCATCTCGGCTGAGGTTCTAAAATAGAACACCACATTTGACATAGAAGCTCACTGAAATCAATAAAATTCCTACCTACTGAATGTAAAAATATCAGAGACATTTAAATAAAAGCATCTTGGACATCAAGTAACTATCTTTCTGTGATCCTAGCAGAGTTTCAGCCATTCTCTTTTATGTTTACAACTCATACTGTTGCAGTCATGCTGTAAACTTTCTAAATGTTTTATTCTGACATTTAATTCAGTTCTTATAAACTATGAAACCGCAATGGTAAAAAAAACTTGTATCAGCATCCAAGCAAACCAATCATCAGTTTACACATTATGTATAAATATATTTTTTATCTGATAACATAACAAATAAACTATTCACTAAATTAACTAATATTAGAAACCTGAAATTGTATTTTTACACTGTTCATTAATGAAATACCTCTTAGGTATTTCATTAAATTAGATATAAAGAGTTATAACTGAGATAAAAAGGAAAACAGAAAAATAGACCATCAGTTAACTATCAGTTAAGTTAAGTTTAATGGATGGATATATAAAAATCTGTGTTACATAAAGCTTTCTCTCGTTTACGTTGTATGACGCTTTTATGCACACACCTCCCTGTTAAAAATATTCCTTGAGTTGATATCTAGCTTAGATATTTAAACAGCTGCCCCCATTACCATACTGCCTGAGCAAGAGTCATCCACCATCAAGCTGCTAGCAACAACTAAATGATATATTTTTTTAATTTTATAGGCTCAGAATTGTGCCTGGGCAAAAGGCTGGTTAACAAATAAGATAAAAATTATACAATTTTCCTTCCCAAAGATGGTTTTTCTCAAAGTTCAACCTTTTCAATGTTTTCTAAAGATCATCAAATTACCATTTACCCCAGTGTCCTCTAAAATAAATGTTCCAAACCGTCTTATATTTTGTGTCCATGAAAGACAATATGTATCAAAGTAATACATGACTTAGCTGCTGCATCCGCTTATTGACACCCTGACTGCCATTGATTAGGGTGTCCAGCAAAGGAAAACCGACAGGGCGAGGGAGTGGTTGTGGAAGATTGCTCAGAGCTCTTCAGCTCAAAGTGTGTTAGGCTCTGCTCTCACATGCTTTGGGACCTATATTCCCCCAGAGAAGCAGTGAAATTTGAACAGCAAAACAGAGCTCTGATGTCGTACAGCCAAAAGGCCTTCAAATGAAGCTGACAGTTGGTTAGGAGCTGGTAAGTGTCTTGAATACACATCAGCCATGTTCATAGTAGCCTGGAAGATAGATAGATGGAAAACCACATGCTGTACTGGCCAAATGCACCACAACTGTCCTGCCTGAAGGACATGGACAGATCCTTGTGAATAGGTCTTTGTATGAAGAAGACAGAAGCCTTGATTCTGATACTCCTTTGTTGAATAACATTTGTCTAGAGGATCTAACATAAAGAGGTTAGGTATAGCTGTATAGGTGATCTTAATAGGAATTAAGCTCTAAAGTAATGCAGGTATTTTTGAAAGTTTGCTTTTTTTATAAATATATCTTCAGTAAAGATGTATTTTTGTAATGTATCTACAGTAAAGAACAGAACTAAAGAACAGGAGGACTGTAATAGATTGAGGAGTAGTTTAGATTAGCCACCTAATTTAGAAATGAAAAATGAGAGCGCCTTCAAAGCAGGTTCACTTTAAATTATTCTTAGAGCTTTCCCTTCCATTTCTCTCTCATTGTAATATACATAAGCCATTACATAACAGCAAAAGAACGGAAGAATTTCTTAAAATAAATCCTATGAGAACCACAGCAGAAGATTCATGTTATAGGTGCTAGCATATTACCAAGTACATATTTGAGTACTGAACATGGCTCATTTAAAACAGAATAGTTAAAGAAGCAAAACACTTTCTGAACTTCTAATTTCAAATGAGTTTTGCAGAACAACACACAATATTATGAATATTTCTCTACCCTGAAATTATAGCATACTTTTCTTCCTCATAGAACTTTCCTGACCTAAAATGTGAAGATGCTTTTATTCACCTCTTCAAACAGCAGACTGTTTGCCTTCACCGATCTCAAATTGCCTTCCAGAGAGAGCTAAGTGACTAGCTTTCTCTTCCCTGCTAATTACGAGCATACTCCCCTCCCACCCTCAGCTACTTTTCACAGGAATCACACAACATTTTGGTAAGCAAAAAGACTTCAGCCACAGACAGATGAAAAAAGAAAAAAAAGGAGACATCATTAACTTTCCACACTGATATACATCACGCTCACTCATCTGTGCACACCACAACATCTTTCTTTTAGAAGATCTCACTGTCATATCAGGATTTCTCAAATGAAAAGCTCAGTAAATTTTGGTATGGTTGTAAAATAATTTATTTCTGTTAATGAATTCAGAAGCAGTAATTAACCAGTTCAGACTAATAATATCAGAATAATATATACTAGTATATATTAGCACGCAAACTAATTGCATATTTTTCAACATGTGCTTGACTTCCAAAAGCTCCAGTTGAATTCAAATGAACCTGTGAAAGAAGGATTTAGCTTCTTAAATAGCATTTCAGAAGGCATTTTCCATGATGTGTCCCAAGTGAATGAAGAGTGTGAGAGGATGGACCAAACTGAGGATGATTAAAATGACACAAAATACAATTAATTCATTCCATTTCGCAAGAGACTACCAGGGTGAAGGGGGACTTTCATTGCAAGCATAGGAATATCAGAACATCACATATTTTCAAGGTAAAGATGTTCAGTTGACTGAGAAATATATAAGGGCCGGGTCAAAGCAGGCAATAGCTAGTTACTCAGAGGAACACGAGAGAACTTCCGAAGCGTTTGGCGGGGCCGAACCCACTATGCTGGTTTAGCTTCAATCCAATTAAAAAATTGTACCAAATGCCTGTGGTCACAGAAAGGGAGGCTTTTCTGTACTGAGCACACATAAATGGATTCCTCTTTTCTATATGTTGCAAGAGCTAAAAAAATGATTTGCCAACTGTACTAGAGTTCTATTTCTTATGGTTTTGTACAATTATTGCAACATAAATATTTATAGATCTTCTTTATAATCCTTTATAAAGCTTTCTAAAGTTTCTTACAATTATTGGTTATAAAACTTTGTTTGCTAATGTAATATTTTGGTATCAGCCCAGAGAAGTATATATTCATTAACACTATCAAGTTATGGTATCTAATTTAAATCACAATTTAAACCACTATTTTCAGAAGGACTATATCATTTTCCAGTCATACCATTTAGCAACATTACCTATTACCCCAAATTCAGAAATATAGTATATATCTAACTTGGAGAGAAAGGGAAGGAAAAAGGACAGATGGCAGAACTAAAACTGCAGTTTTAATTTTTGATTTCCTTTCAGCAAATAAATGTGTCAATCATTGAACTTTTTAGCTTTTCTCGAAGTAAACATTCAACTCAATTCACTGTGACTCAGGGCAGAGGAAAATTAAAAATATGCATCTTTCCTATGTGATAATTTGTCAGA